GGAATCCTAATTGGAACAAGTTATACTCCATGTATGTACAATATGTCACAATACACTCTACTGCCATGAATATCTAAAAAGAATTTTTAAATGATAAAAAAAGACACAGAAGACAGCCACATGATTGGAGTGACGCCTCTTCAAACCAAGAGACACCAAAGATGTTGGCACCAAGTGTCAGAAGTTAGAAGAGGCAAGGAAAAATTCTCCCCAGAGCCACCAGAGAAAGCACAGTCGTGCCAACACCTTGACTTAAGTCTTCTAGACTCCAGAACTGTAAGAAAAAAAGTCTGCTGTTTCAAGCCACCCAGTTTATGGTACTTTCTTACAGCAGCTCTAGGAAACTGCATCTAGGGCAGGATGAGATCCTCATTGCTTTTACTGACAATCTCTGAATGCTGTGTACAGAGAGACTTGCAGGGAGCCCATGCAGATGTTGGTTTGCAATGGCAATGGGGTTCACAGGTGGGATCTAGAGTGATATGCCTGTGGGAGGAAGCATTAGCTTTTGGGCCTGGTGTTAGGGGTTAAGGAAGACGATCAAGTTCACTTTTGTCTGTATCTGGAAGGTATATTTTATGATGCTTTGACATCTTGGGGCCTGGCTTCAGTCTCCTGGAGAGCCCCCCTTTCCTAGAGCTGGATAACTCATTTGTAATAAACAACTGGGCAGTAAGCAAGTTACTGATACGTAAACCTATGAATCTGAGTCCATATTCCCGCCTACCTTCTGCAGTCCAGGACACTATCCCTCTGCCCTAAGCCACTCCAGGCCAGGTACAGAACCTCTAGGAACCAACCACACTTATAGCCCAAGATTCACCAAAATTATTCAAATTTTTCAAATCCTTAACTGACTCAGCTTACCTGATCTGACCCTGGCTCATGTTTTTCCCATCACTTTTTCTTCTTTTGTTTTTTCAGAATATCAAATTCTGTAGCACTTTATTAAGTAGTTACAGCCATTCTAAACATCAGTCAATAAGCCAGAGACTCAGCAAAGTCACTGCTTTCCCCCCTCACTTCCACCTCCTGACTTCGGATGTCTGTCAGCTCTATAGTGATCTCTTCTCTCTCATTCCCGGCAGTAGCAATTTGTATATTTCTTGGTAAAACTTAGCTAGATGATTATCCATTTTACTGATCCTAAGGATTTTGATTTCATTACTATTCTCTATTTTTTCTGCTCATACACACACACACACACACACACAAACACAAACACACACACACACACACACACACCTGTGAAACCAGTATCACAATTAAGGTAATGAGCACCCCTGCCACCTCCAAGAATCCTACTCTGTCTGTCCCACTCTTGTAATAAGAAGACCTTAAAATTCACTCTTTCAAAAAAATTTTTAAATATTATATCATAAGCAAATCTAGAACTTATACATCTTGTATAACTGAAACTTTATAATTTTTTAATATTTATTTTTTAGTTATAGGTGGACACATATCTTTATTTTTTTTATTTTATGTGGTGTTGAGGACTGACCCAGTGCCTCATGCATGCTAGGAGAATGTTCTACCTCTGAGCCACGACCCCAGTCCCCACCCCATAACTGAAACTTTATACCTTTTAGTCAGCTTTTTGTTATTGTGATCAAGATTCCAGACAAAAACAATCCAGAAGAGAAAAGTTTATTTTGTCTCATGGTTTCAGAAGTCTCAGACCAACTCTATTGCTCGGGCCGGAAGTGTGGCTGAACATCATTGTGGAAGGGTGTGACAGGAGAGAGAGAGAGGTGGGGGGGAAGTGAGGGCATCCAGGGACACTCCTGGTGCTCTACTTTCTCTAGCTATGCCCCACTTGCCTATAGTTACCATCTAGTAATCCATTCAAATTATTCTCTACCAAATGGATTAATCCATTAGTTACATTATAGCTCTCAGATTCTAATCATCTCACCTCTAAACATCCCCAAATTAGTAAGATCCATTCAAACCATAACTATATCTGTTGGACAGCAGCTCCCCATTTACTCCTTCCCCAGTCCCTGGGGCCACCTTTCTACCCTCTGCTTCTGAGTTTGAATATTTTAGGTATCCCATGTAGGTGAAACCATGCAGTTTTGTCTTTCTGTGCCTGGCTTATTGCATTTGTTTTAGTGCCCTCTGGGTTCATCCCTGTTGTTGCATATGGCAAGACACCACTCTTTTTAAGGCCAAATGATATTCCTTTTTTGTATATCCAAGAGCAATCTTTTTTAATTGGTAAGGTCTAGTATTTCTGAATTTTCCCCTTTTATGCTTTTGTATCTTGTTCAAGAAATTTTTACCTAGGCTTGGTCCTGATCATTTTCTCTTGTACTTTTTCATAAACCTTTATAGTTATACATTTTGTATTTCAGTCTGTGCTTCACTTTATATTTATAAATATAAAAAAATATGAGGTTTAAGTGGAGCTTTTTTCGCCCAGTTACTCCAACATTATTTATTGAAAAAAACTGACCTACCTCCATTTAGTTGTTTTGTTCATTTATTAAAAATCAGTTGATTTTATTTTGGGGTCTACTTCACAGTTCTTTATTCTGTTTTCCTTTGATCTGTGTGTTTATCACTTAGCCAGCACCACATTATTGTATCTTGTTTACTGTAGCAACATAGTGAGCTTAACATCAGGCTGAGTGATTCCTCCTATTTTATTCTTCTTTCTCAAATTGTTTTAGCTACTCTAGATCCTTTACCTTTCCAGATATATATATATATATATATATATATATATATATATATATATATATTTAAATTTCCTTTTTAGTTGTAAATGGACACAATACCTTTATTTTGTTTATTTTTTTACTGTGGTGCTGAGGATCGAACCCAGTGCTTCACACATGCTAGGCAAGTGAGCCACAACCCCAGACCCCAGATATATATATTTTTAAACTTTTCTATTATTTTATTATTTTAACTTTATTATTTATTATTTTTATGCGGTGCTGAGGAAGGAACCCAGAGCCTTGCACGTGCAAGGCAAGCGCTCTACTGCTGAGCCATAACCCCAGCCCCGCCCAGATATAATTTTTTAAAGTGTGCTTATATCTATAAAAACAATTTCAGTGATTTTGACTGACATTTTGTTAAAGCTACAGATCATTTTGGGAATAATCAACGTTGTTATTGTGTTGATGCATAAAAATCCATGAACAGTATACCTGTCCATTTTTTTAGGTCTTTGATATCTTTGTGTCTTGTCATTTTTCACATATTCAATACACATTTTGCACAATAGTGTTCCATTTCTTGAGTGATTATAAATGAGAGTGTGCTTTTATTTTCAGTATCTCCATGTCTGTTGCTAGTACATTAAAATGCATCTTAGTTTTGGGTGTTGATCTTATGTTCACTTACTTTATTTAATAGTTTTATTGCAGATAACGTGGGTTTTCACATAGATCACCATGTTCTGCAAATGTAGACAGTTTTATTTCTTTTAATCTTATTCATTTGTATTTTATTTCCTGCCATGCTTTGTTGCCATGGCCAGAATTCCAGTTATAATAAGAATAAGAGTAGTGTGATAAAATATCCTTTCTGTTTTCCCAATCTTAGGAGGAAAGCATTTATTCTTTTGCCATTAAAATTGATGTCACCTACAGATTTTTTTCTGTAGATATTCCTTATGAGGTTGGAAGAATAACTTTCTATTTTTAGTTTATCTAGAATTTTTTATTATGAATAGATGTTGGAAAATTATATTCTAATTTCCATTTTAATATTTCTTTGATCCATGGATTATTTATAGATTCCACATATTTGGAAATTTTCAAGATTCCATATATTTTTAATTTTTATTGAATTCCATTATGATTAGAAGACAAACCTTGTGGCTTAAAATTTTTTTAATTTATTCAGATTTTCCTTGTAGCTTTAGTATATAGATTATATTTGTAAATGTTCCATGTTCACTTGAAACAAATGTGTTTGCTGCTATTGTTGATTGTGGGATTCTGAACTTGTCAATAGTATTCTCTAGGTTTTCTATACTCTTACTGATTTTCTATCTATTTAGTCATCTGTTATTTGGAGGATTTGATTATTTTGTCATGCATTTTTGTTGTTGTTGTTTTGTTTTTTGGTACTGGGCATTGAACCTAGAGGCACTTTACCACTGAGCTACACCCCAGTCCTTTTTTATTTTTTATTTTAAGACAGAGTTTAGAGTCTCCTAAAGTTACTGAGGCTGGTGTTGAATTTGCAATCCTCTTGCCTCAGCCTCCTGAGCTTCTGGAATTCAGGTATGCATTACCACACCCAGCTTCTCCATGCAGTTCTTTCAGATTTTGCTTCATGTATTCAAAAATTATGTTATTAGGGGACTAAACATTTTTAATTCTTATATACATGTTTTGTTTTCGTTTTTGTGGTACTGGGTGTTGATTCCAGGAGCACTTTACCACTGAGGAACATCCCCAGCTCCTCCCCTCACCCCTTTTCTTTTGTATTGAGAAAGGGTCTCACTAAATTGCCTAGGCCGTCCTGGAAGTTGAGATCCTCCTGCTTCCAACTCCATAGTAGCTGGGATTACAGGCATGAACCATTACGTTCGACTTGTTGGAGCATCAAAACTCCTAGAGGACACAGTGTCTGATGTAATGAATCTCAGGTAGGGTCTGAGAACTTGTATTTGTAACAGATGTCCAGGTAATACTGACATGATCTAAACATTTAATATTATTATGTTAAAGAATTATCTTCATTTTTCTTATAAATCTCCAATTTCAAGGTTCAAAGACATTAAGTGTTGGTGCGGGGCAGGAAAGTCAAGGCATGGGTCACCTGTTAAAGACTCTGGAAGATCATACTTCAACGCCCTCTCTTTGGAACCTTAGGTGGCAGTTTCATAGAGTACAGGAAGTGTGCGCCAAGTTCCACTCGGTTCAGGTAACTACATTACCCAGAAGGCAGTGCTTCGGGCGTCGAGGGCAAGCAGGCGCCGAGCCAATGACGGAACACGAAGGGGGCGTTGCCCAGGGCCGCGGGGGCGGTGCTTCTGGCTTCCTATCCTGGGATGTCCCTGGGCTGTGGCTGATCTGTCCTTACCCGCGCTGGGCGGAAGCGGCTTCCCAGGCCTTTCAACACCAAAAGGAGAAGGACGGTGTGGAGAATAGGACCAAATTCCACCTTTTGTGCGAACCGCTACCCGCTCCTGCCCGCCCCTCAGCAGGGTTCACGGCTGAGCGCTTTTCGGGACCTTGGCATCACCGGTCTCCACAGCACCCGGAGGCGGCGTCCAGAGCTTTGTGCTCATTTTACGTGGCAGAGACTGAGGTCCTAGGCTGCCTCGGTCTGAAGTGAGGAATCACCTGAGGCCGCCGGACCAGCTTTTGTAGCCTCCACTCGCGGCCTCGCTCTGCCCACTGGGTCCCATGGCTGCGCCAGCGTTGGTGAGTGGAGGGTTCCTCCTGGATCTGGGGATCCCGGGGAAGGAGGGCAGGAAGGGACAGGGGCACTGGGCACTTCCAACCCAGGATTTCAATCTAGGTCGGGGTTTGTAGGAATTACCCATTTATGGCTCTACCTTGGCGCTTGTTGCTTGGCCACCCTTGTCCTCTCTTCCCGGGTCTGAAACGGGAATATTAATAATTATTTTTGAGGAACTGAGGAAAGTGACTTGTGCCCTTCGTGCTCAGTACATAAGCATAACTGTCATTTCTGGGGAGGAACTTCTCAGATCCTGCTGTTTTCTTAGGGGCTCACTGTTATCTTAGGGGCCCTCTGGCCTTCCTGTCTAAGGCTTCTATCCCCCTGAGAGCTGGGAGACCAGATGGGAATCTCAAGGACAGAGGTGAGTTGGGAGCAGCATTTTTGGGATTGCTGCTCTTTGACAGGAGTAGAAAGTACCCCAAGAGGTTAGGGGACAAGATCACTGGATTCATCTTCGCAGATGTCATCTGTTTATTACAAGTGAATTTTGCTTACCACTTGACCTCAGTGAATCCGTTTTCCTGTTTAACACATTTGTCTGTATTGGCAAAGCAAATCCATTGCAGTATTCATTTCATGACAGTGTACCAGCAGTGTTTTGTCTCTTGGAATGTGAACACAAAACAGGCCCCAAGTTACTCTCCAGCATGCCACCCTGGTTACTCTCATTATTACCCTGATTACCTTCAGAACCTGTCTTATTTATTTTTGCTCGCCTGACCTGCTTTCTCACTTCATTCCAGCCTTGTTCAGGGTCTCTTCAGAGAAGTCTTCCCTGGCTGCCTCATCTAACATCTCCCCTAATCTTTATGGTTATCTCACTCTCTTGTTGTTTTCAAAGCCCTTAGAATCATCTGATTTTACCTTGCTCATTTATTATCGAGAAACCATCCTCAACCCTGGAATGTGAGCTACTAGAACAGGTAGGACCTGAACCACTTACTCAGTAAGTGGTTGATGAGTGAAAGTCTCTGCCTTCTGGAGCTTCCATCGTCCTTAAATTAACCTTCCATGTGGTTAATCTAAACTTTTCACCATGGCCGAAAGTTTCCACCAAGCTACTATTTCATTCTTTTCTCTACCTTACCCTTGGGCCATGCTGGCCTAAATGTGCCAAACTGGTTGCCCACTTTTCTCTGTCACATTGTCACCAAATCTCTGCAAAACTTCCCCTTGGAGGTGTGTACATTGAGCTTTCCCAGGGTGCTAAGAAGCAAGTGGAAAAATTCTTAACAATATTCCACCCACAATGGGTTGGGGGTTCTAGGGTTGATACCCAAAGTAATCTTTGCAAGAGGAAGGTACAGGCCTATCTCTGGCAGGTGGCCATGGGAACAAAGGGGATTTTGGGAAACTTCTAGGCAAAAGGAGCTGCCAAGGACAAAAGCAGGCTTTGTTCAAGAAGGCATGAAAGGACCTGGGGGATTGCCAAGGGGTCTCATAAGCTACTAAAGTGTGTCTCTGGAAGGTGAGATTGTGTAACCCTGAATCCACATCAATCATTCCATCTTCAACCAAGATAGACCTCTTACTAAATGTTGCTGCCCATGTTCTGAGATCCATAACCTGCAGTATCCTTTGTCACTTGTGTTACATGGTGCTTAGGTAGCAATATCTTAGGGAAATGTGCTGACAGTGGCTCAGAATGACAAATAATAGACTGGTGATTCCTTATGGAATCTTTCAGGGAATCTGCAAGTCCCAGCTATAGCTTAAGGACAGGGAGAGGTTGTTGGAACCCTGCCAAGCCCCAGTAGTTGGCACCTGCTCAGATATCTCTTCTGTAAGGCACTTGACAAGGGCTCTGCTCTTCTATATCTATGGGAATATTTTCAGGAGTGGCTGAAATGCTTTTTAATGTCGATATTGGAAATGTTTCTTGCCCTTGTTACTGTGGATTCACTGTGGTAATAGAGGATTATACCCTTAGACCTCGAATCAGAGGATCTGGGTTCAAGTTCTGCCTCTTCTCATTACATGTACAGCTCTGAGTGACTTGACTCAACCTCGATTTGCTGAGTGTGACATGGAGATGATGATGGCATTTATCTTATGGACTATGGGATGATCATAAAATTTGCAAACACACAAATCTATCCCTGTGACATGTGGCAGACTCTGCCATGTTTGTTTTATGAACATTTTCTCTTTAATACCCACAACAGTCTAGTGAAGTAGGAACTATTGATGTATTCATGTGGAAATTGAAACTCAGAGTAATTAAGAGATATCCCCCAAGGTCAAACATCTGGCAATTATCGGTTCAAGAGGCTGGATTGAAACCTCAGGAGACTGGAGACTTTTAGTTGCTTTAACCAGCATGCACAGTCTTCAGGGGAAGGCAAACAGGCTCAGATGCTGCTACTGTAAACATTGTTTGAATTATTGTTTTTCCTCACTCTTCTAATGTCCCAGAGCACTTATTATCTGCTCCTCACAGTCCACATGGGACTATCATTGTCTTGTGGCTTCCTATATAGGAAGCTTTTCTCCCCCATACCTTTGTATTTTGTCAAAGCCATGTCTTCCTCATCTGAGGCCCAGTACCAAGCTAGGTTCTCATATACTCAGTGGTTCAGGCCTTGGGACAGTAACCAAGCAATAGGCTCTAATCTCATCTGTTAGCCACACAGTTCCCCGACCACCACTCTGTTTGGCTTTCCAGGCATTGGTATCATTTGAAGATGTGGTCGTGACCTTCACTGGAGAGGAATGGAGGCATCTAAACCTGACCCAAAGGACCCTCTACCAGGAGGTGATGCTAGAGATCTGTGGGCTCCTGGTCTCACTGGGTAAGGCTTCATTGTCTTCAGGTAGAGCCTGAACTCTCTTTCAGTCCATTCTCTCTCTCTCTCTCTAGGCATGACTGAAGAGAAGGCCTCAGGAACCCACTTCCCTCTTTCCTGCCACCTCAGCGTTTTGTGGTCTGATTTCCTCTTGCTTGGTTTCTCTGCATCTCCATCAGGGATTGTTGTGTAGGCTACACAGTCCTTCTCAGCACTTTCAGTGTCTAATACAAGCCAAAAGCAGTCTTGACATCCTTTCTCCATAATCCCACATGAAGGAAGGTAATTGGCCCAGCATAGGTGAAGCAAATGCCCTCAGTCTGGTTGGCAGGATTGACCGAGAATGGGAGGTTCTTGTCTTATTCAGACAAGCAATAAGAAGGCATTTGTCTTCAGTGCTGCTGGCATCTTTCTAAGCAACACTCTCATCTGAAAGGCTTCTTTGGGACCAGGCACAATGATATACACTTGTAATCCTAGCAACTCAGGAGAATGAGGCATGAGAATCACAAGTTCAAGCCCAGCCTCTGCAACTTAGCAAGACCCTGTTTCAAAATAAAAAAGGACCAGTGATTTAGCACAGCAGTAAAGTACCACCTAGTTTCAGTCCCCAGTCCAAAAAAAGAAAAGGTTTCTTTGATCCCTAGTACCTGCACAGTTGACCCTTATTTAGGCATGTGCTTTGCTTCTCTGCTTGTATGGGAGATGACTTTTAGCTGATGCATGGTCAGGTTATCAAATGGCATTGATGGGCATCTGAGAAAGCTGTCCTTTCTTACATTCCCATAGCTATTGCCTAAAAGCAATAAGAAGTAGCCCCAAACTCCCAACCTTGAGCAGGCATGAGCTTGTTGGGACTTAATATCATTTTAATTTTATCATTTTTATGGTACCTTTTTTGCCAGTTTCTAAAAGCAAGTGAGCTAATACTTACAGTGTGCTTAGAAGAAAAATGGGAACAAAGCAAGTTTTGCACATGTATTTGTTTGTGTAACAAATGAATAAATCCCAAGTGTTCTCCCATCTAAACCTTTGACAATGACCACTTTATCCAGAAATTGGTCTGAGTAGGAATTGAATAAGACCCGAGGTCTCCATTTTCCCAGATGTTCGAATGGTTACCTCTGCTAGGCTTCTACCAGTCTTGCCATCCTCGAGGATATTATCCTGTTAAGTAAGGAGGACAAAATAACATTCTTGTAGATTTTATGACAGCTGTGATTGAAAGAAGATGTATGGAGAACAGCATTCTAGCAGAGTCCCTGAGGGGACGGGGAGCTCGAATCCTTAACAGACATAAAGGGTTGATTCACCTTTACCACTGCCCCATCACCTACCTCAGTGCCATGGCAGACATCAGCGAACATTGGCTAAGTGACAACTGGATGCATTCTGGCCTGCTGTCCAAGATTTTCCAGTTGATATTTGTGTCCTTTTTCCTCAGTCTTTGACTTCTCTTCAGAGTTTTATTTTAGCCTTCACATTTGGCCAAGTTTGTGTGACTGAGTATAATGGAAGACTATCTCATGCTGTTTTCATCCCGAAGAAAAGAAAAATTACCTCATCAAATAAGAAACCCAAGGTAGTACTGGTTCTCAGGTTGACAGAGACCAACCCAGCTCTGTTCATCTGTTTTCCCTCCTGGTCTAGATCATCAGGCCAGCACCTTTGTAGGGGCCCCAGGATGATACCAAAGCAACTAGAGCAGGAGGCTGCCACATGGACTTCTCTCCTCCAAATATGAATTAAAAGCTTTTTTTTTTCAGAATGGGTAGCTGGCTTAGGTCACCTTCCTGCCTCAGACAATTGACTGTTAGTAGATCTGTTCATCTGTTGATTTGGTTCAGTATTTCTAATCATCCCTGGGCACAAGAATGGCCTGGGAAACTTTAAAAACTAGCAGTGCTCTGTCCTGATGCCCAAAGATTTCATTCACTTCATTCCATTTTTGGAACCAGGTATTGCTAAGTAGTTCTCAGGCACAGAGAAGTGAAATCTACTGACTTGGATTTGTTAAGAGATTACCTTCAGATGTGAGAGTTGGGTCACCTTTCTGTTGTGGCCTAGCAGCATGTTAAAGATATGTACTCCCATAAACTTGAGACTTTTCCTCTTGTCTTTACCTGTATACCGATGTTCTATTTATTTCTTACGCCAGGGCATCCTGTTCCGAAACCAGAGTCGATATTGGATCATGAGCAGGGACTATGGACAGAGAAGAGGCACCTCTCCCAAAGCACCTGTGCAGGTAGGTGATTAAGAATCTGGCACTGGGTGTCATGGCAGCCTGCAGACTACCAAAGGATCACTGTGTCTGAAATTTATGGGCAGCTTCTTTTTGTGGACTTACTGGGGTCAAGTTTGTATGGAGCACTTTGAACTGTGGTCCCCCTACCTTCCCACCCACATCACACACACTTAGATAGGAGATAAACTCTGGGCTGTAAATTATTTGGCACTCCCAGCCTCTTGATGCTGTGGGAGCTGCACAATCTCACTGTTCCTGAGTTAATGCTACCTGCTCTCAAAGATAAACTCCAAAATATTGGTGGCTCAACAGATTTTTTTTTTTCTCATTCATGCCATTCTTCCATGTGGGTCAACAGAGGCTCTGTACCACATATTTATTTAGGGATCCAATTGTATTCTGTTGTCAACATGTGTTTTTCAGTTTTCCCTGGCCCATAGAAATAGGTGAGAAGGGCAGCTGTCATATTTACTCACACATGCATGTCACTTCATTTACATCTCACTGATGAGAACTGGGTATTAGGCTACATGTTTGACCAAGCTGGGAAATGTAGTTTAGTTTTGTGCCCAAGGAAAAGATCTCAGGGGTATACTTGGCCTGCTAAACTTTGGGAAAGGTAGTAATAATAGTTTCTGCATCCTTGGGTTGTTTGAGAATGTAATTGGATAACAGGAAATTATTTAGCACACAGTACTGGGGTCAATGCCCAGCATCTCACTGAGGGGTTCTTCTTCCTTCCCAGGAGAATCTAAGCCACCATAAAAAAACTTAAAATCTCAAATAATTATTGAATAACAAAACACAAATATTCAGAAATATATTTACAAAAGGCAAAGCCCCTGATAGATCTAGTCCACATGGGTTCTAGAACTAGCAGTTCACACCCATCTCAGGTGCTGTGTGGGATCTCTGGCCGAGCTTGAGGGGGAAGTTCACCTGCATCAGGCAATCAATCCCTGTGAGGGTGCCATAGGAGGTTTCCAAAATGCCAGACCTATCCCCTATATAGAAATTATACCTCAGTACAAAAATACAAGGGAAAAAATAGTATAGGGTATTTAGGCTACTATACGCAATATAGCCCACATACAGCCCACGGATGGCTCATGACAACATAGCCTGACCCAGAGTAGCTCAACAAAAGTTCCCTGTGGTATTAATATTTATGCTTTATTAGTCATAGTGAATAGTGACATCTAAACTTCCTTCCACATTCATAAGATGGGCCTTTCTTTTTCTGCATGTAACTCCAGCTGTACTCTGCATCCCATCCTCTTTCCCTTCTCCAGACAGTCATTTCTTGACCTAACCATCAATGCACGTAACTCGCCTTCCATTTGTGAATCAGATGCTCAGAAGCATCCCCTAATCCTGTTGTCCTCTTGCCCTGCTGTCCTGTTAAACCCTCAAGGTGACATGTTTTCCCTTGCCGGTCTAAGAGCATCTAGAACTATCAGGTGTGTGTATTGCTGACACTGCAGATTCGTGGCCTCTCCCCTCTAGTGTTCTTTTAGGCTGCTCAGCCAGCTTCAGCCCTCTCCCTAATTCCCCATCTTCACTTGAATGTCTCCGGGGCTCCCTACACTCATCATGCCTAAAAATAACCTCATGATCTTGCCCACTCCTCCCTTCTCATTTTCAACTAGTGGCCCTTTTAATCAGTGGATAAGTTCAAAAGCAAACCTAGAAAACCCACCAATATCTCCATCTCTACCAAACCCAATATTCAGCATTCCGAATCTTGACCATTTTATAACATACGTAGCTCCAAATCTATCACCGTCACCCGTCCCATCAGCTCCAGCGATAGCACTCTGGGCTAAGCTGTTTTTACCACTTAACCTGCATGATGATAACAGATCCAGAACTGGTTTTCCTACATCTGCTGCATGCCGCAGCTCAGTGTGTTATATTCACTTCCCCATTTACTCACACACTATTCCAAATGTCACCACCTGCTTTGCCATTGATGTCTCAGCATATGACCTACTTCATGTTGAAAACAAAGCCTACGTGCTTGTCTTTCTTGCTCCTTCATCCTTACTGAGTCGACCCTGCAGCTTCCTTCTCACCTTGTGGAGGCATTCTCAACCCCAGCGTGGCTCATTCCCCCAGCAGAGTCCAGATTACACCTCTCCTGCCTTCTCAAATGTGTGAGTTATCTGTTGCTGTGTATATAACACAGACATCGCAGCCTGAGAATCCCTCATTTTATCTCATCCAGGCACACTTAGCTGGGTCCTCTGTAAGGCCACAGTTGTAGGCAGCTGACATCACATCAGCTCACTTCTTCAAATCAAGCAACTGTGTGAGAGACTGCAGCAGGACTGAAGCTGCAATCTTGTAAAATCAGATATATTTTATCACATACATTCTTTCACCTTTTCATAGTCTATTCTTTAGAAGCAAAATCCTGCCAATATTCAAATGGAAGGGATCATAAAAGGGTATAACGGGTGTGAACATCATGAGGTGGGGATTGTGGGAAGCCATACACGAATCTTGAATGCTGCAGCAGGAACACACTTCTCTTATTTCCTACTTTTCTATCCTCTCTACTCAACCTTAAAAAAAAAAAAGGTGAAGTTCTTGACATTTGGGAGAAACAAAAATTAAAAATTTCTTGGCTTTCCAACAGTATCTAAATATTATTGATTCTATCTCATCTGAATAACCAAGCTTTTTGGATTTTCTCATTCTTAGAAGAGACATCTGCACAAGATCTACCCTTTATATTTATTTGTAGACATATGATTAGTTTAATTGAAACCAACAGTTTTAAAGTAACTGTACCATTTTACATTTCTACCTGCCCCATATGAGTCATCATTGCTCCACATACTCCTGAGCAACTGGTGTCTTCCTCTTTTCTCTGAGCAGTGTTTCTCAGCACCATAGATTAGAAGTGTTCTTACTCAGGTCCCTGTTGCCAAATATAACAACAACAACAACAACAACAATAATAATAATAATAATAATATATAGTGGTCTGCAATTTACTGGACATTTACTCTTCACATGCAAATGGATGTTTTATCTCATGTAATGCTCATAACAACTTGTAAGGCAGGAACTGAGAATCTCCCAGTTTTTCAGATGAGGAGATTGAGTCTTTAAAAGTATTACTACTTCAACTGCTGAAACAAAATACTATATAACAGGTATCTTATGAAATAGAAATTTATTTTTTTTCTGGAGGCTATAAGTTCAAAGTCAGGGTTCCAGCATGGTTAGGTTATGCAGATGGCTGCCTTCTTGCTGTGTTTTCATAGGGTCCCTGGTGCATGCATGCAGAGAGAGAGAGAGAGAGAGAAATCTTTCTCTGCCACGCGACCAGCGCTGGCTTCATGAAAGAAGGTTCAATTCATGAGTAAACACTAGGGAGTTCTAAATTAAAGAGACAAGACTCTAATTACCTTTAATACCAGCTCTGGGACTGCTTCTCCTAGCTCCCGCCTCCAGCCACATAATGCAGTAGCGAGGTTTACAGAAGAGACGAGCGAGAGAGAGAGAGAGAGAGAGAGAGAGAACATGCCAGGGAGTGGACTTTTACTGGGGAACAAAAAATTCCAGGGAAAATCCCATCCAATGAAGGTTAAGGGGGGCAGCATCCCAAGGTCAGGGGCGACAATTGGATCTTCAGGGCAGTGGCCAGACACCCTCTGCACAGACAAGCCCTCGGACCTGGAGAAGGGTGGAGAAAGCTCTGACACAGCCATGTCTAAGCGCCTCTCATCCAACCAGGGAGGTAACTCAAATCACATGCGAGGATGGCCTCCCCATCTCTGTAGTATCTCTTTTTATAGGAACACTAATCCTAATAGGTCAGGGCCCTATCCTTATGACCTTATATAACCTTAGTTACTTTCACAAATGCCCTATCTCCAAATGCAATCACACTGGGAACTAGGGTTTCAACATAGGAATTTGGGAAGAATATAAATATTCAGTTCCTAACAAGCTAATTTGCCAGGAACACCTAGCTTTGGTAGAGGCAGAATTTGAACAAAGTGTTCTGGCTTTATACTCTACATGCCTAATGATACTCTGCTGCTTCTCAGTTACCCCAGAAACTTTCCTCACATTATCATGCTGCAGCTTTATAGCATTCTGTTCTTGTTTCTTCTTTCCTTCTTCTGACTTGACCTTTACTATTGTTTTCTGATTCTCATCCATTCTTCAACACTGGATTCATGGCCCTTTCTTTCTATTCTGTACACTTTCTCTAGGTATACTCATTCATGTTTACCATCAACTTTAACCCTAGTGCAGTTGGCCCATAACACAGCCATGACGGGGATGCTGACCCAGTGCCTGTGCCTTACTACGGACTGTGTATGTGCTGTTTCACATCATCCTCACAATAGTCCTTTCATTGAACCTTTAGGAATTCAAGTGGGTCACTAAAGGTGACAGAGCTAGTGTGGGGTCCTGCAGGAATTTCAGACTGGGGTGTTTGTCTTCAGAGTTCATGAAGTTAGCTGCAGTACTTTGTAGGTCCTCTCTGACTTTTATAACTGTCTTAAGGTGTGCAGATTTAGACAACTCACTAACTGTGATATATAACACACTACCATCATTGGTCAGTTCATATCTTAGTTTTCTATTATATTTTATTTTGTTAAGGTATTTATTTATTCATTGCCTTTTAAAAGATTATAATGAACAACTATGAACCCTTCACCCAAGTACAAAGTTACCTTCTTCCCACATCTGTTAATATGCTTTTTCCTTTCCCATTTCTACACCACTTCCCTTGCTTATATGGCTACTTTATTGTGGATTTATTATTCCTGTGCTTGTTCCATAGGAAAATAAATGTTTTGGATAAATACAGGCTATCCATGGATTCTGTTATTTTTTGTATCAGCTTTGGTAATTTGACTCACTTAAGGGATTTGACTACATTATCTGATTTGTTTACCTATTACTTTTTGTTTCATCTTAATTAAAATAGTGAATTTCATGTTATATATGTTCTACTGCAATAAAAAACTTAAGATGTATAGATACCGTTTTTATAATACCACTAAAAACTGACCAACATTCTCAAAAAAAATTAAGGTAGTTTTGTTGTACTTTTTGTATGTGTGTGTGTGTGTGTATATATATATATATATATATATATATATATATATATATATATATATATTGCTTTTAAGTGTATCACAGTTTATCTTGTCTTCTGATATTCATACTGTTCAACAGGATATTACTAATTCATGATGTGTATAGCAGTTGTTCACTTTTTTCTGCTATACTCATTTACATGAATATAACACAGTGTATTCATCCATTTTTAGGGGCATTTACATTATAGTTTTTTGTTCTCACAAACAGTGCTGCCATGAAAATTCATATACATGTATAGGAGTTTCTCTTAGTAATGTTCATCAGACTGGAGTTTGGGGATTATAAGGTTAGCAAAAGAAGAGCTTTACTAGATGATACTCTGTTGCCTTCTAAAACAGTTACAGTATTATAATAAAACAGAACAATTATAATAATATACTGCAGTAAATTATGTGAATATATATGTATTCTCTCCTAATTCCTTGTCTGGTAACTCTTACTCTTCTTTAGAAATAAGCTCCCATAGTGCCTTTTCCGCTGCATAGCCTCCACCGATGTCTTTCTTCCACCTGTTGCTCCCTGTGTTGTTACAGTGCCATGGGGCTTCTTCTCTTGGAGCACATGAATCACATACAGTGTAATCATTCCTCTGCCCACCCTCCCTCATTCCAGATAATGAGGCAGTCTCCACTCCATGTTCTCTGTCCCCTCCACCAACTTTTCCTTATGTGTTTCCCTTGAAATATATCAAGAGCCCAAGGATTAGAAAAGAAATTGCAAATTTAGTTTTAAGAGGTGTACAAAAAAAAAAAGTGAACAAATGCAGCAGGCATTAGAGACTCTATTTTCATCTTCATTCTTTTACTAAAGTGATGATTTTCTTTATTCTGTGTACATCACTAAAACACCTTTTTATGTTGGATTTCCTTCAGGTGAAAAAGCAAAACCCAACATCACAGCACCTACTGCTTCTCAACTGACCTTCTGTGAGAAATCTTCTTTTCAAGAACAACTGGCACAGAGGTCCTCAAAGGATTCCAGATTGGGGCAAACCAGAGACGAGGAAATGCAGGAAATCGGAAATGCAGAATCAGAAATGCAGGAAAGGAACTGGAGACCAGGAACAGACCCCTACAAGGAGACATGCCCTGGAAAGTGGTGCCATAAAAATGATGATTTCGAGACAGATGATAATCTGTGTTTAAGAGTTTTACAGGAGCGAGTCACTCCACAAGATGCTGTCCATGAACATGACTCCCAAGGACCAGGAAAAGACACTGGGATTAATTCAAGGAGCAGCCTCTATAAATGCAAAGAATGTGGAAAAGGGTTTTGCAAAAATTGGGCCCTTGTTCGACATCATCAGATTCATACTGGAGTAAAGCCTTATGAATGCAGTGAATGTGGGAAAGCCTGTCGTTACATGTCCGACTTCATTCGACATATGCGGTTTCATACTGGGGAAAAACCATACAAGTGTAAGGAGTGTGGGAAGGCCTTCAAACGCAGGTCTCACCTCACGGAGCACCAGCGTATTCACACTGGAGATAAGCCCTATGAATGCAAAGAATGTGGTAAAGCTTTCACCCACCGCTCTTCTTTTATGCAGCACAATATGACGCATACTAGAGAAAAGCCCTTTTTGTGCAAAGAATGTGGAAAAGCTTTTTACTATAGCTCTTCATTCGCCCACCACATGAAGATTCACACTGGAAAGAAGCTGCATGAGTGTTGTGAATGTGGAAAGGCCTTTACTCACCGCTCCACTTTTATCCAGCATAATATGACCCACACAGGAGAAAAACCCTTTTTGTGCAAAGAATGTGGAAAAGCTTTTTGTCTCAACTCATCCTTCACGCAACACATGAGAATTCACACTGGTGAGAAGCCCTATGAGTGCAATGAATGCGGAAAGGCCTTTACTCATCGGTCCACTTTTATTAGACATAAGAAGATCCATACTGGGGAGAAGCCCTTTGAGTGCAAAGAATGTGGGAAGGCCTTTTGTGATAGCTCTTCCTTGATTCAGCACATGAGGATTCACACTGGTGAGAAGCCCTATCAGTGCAGTGAATGTGGAAAGGCCTTTACACACCACTCTGTTTTTATCCGACATAATAGGACCCACAGTGGAATAAAACCACTGGAGTGTAAAGAATGTGCAAAAGGCTTTTATTATAGCTCATCCTTCATTCGACACATGAGGATTCACACTGGAGAAAAGCCCTATGTTTGCAGAGAATGTGGAAAGGCCTTTACCCAACCTGCAAATTTTGTTCGGCATAGTAGGATCCACACTGGAGAAAAACCCTTTGAGTGCAAAGAATGTGAGAAGGCTTTTTGTGACAACTTTTCCTTAACTCAGCACATGAGAACTCACACTGGAGAGAAACCCTTTGAATGCAGTGAGTGTGGAAAGACCTTCAGCCACAGTTCATCCTTCACTCACCATCGAAAGACTCATACCAGAGTTTAATCCATTTTGTCTCATCAACCCAGAGGTGGAACACCTATAATGATAACTCAAACTGAGCAACAGATATACCCCTGGGGTCCCTCTGAAATAAGTGTTTTTAGAGTTTTATTCTTTTGATGAGAGAAAAAAAAGGCCTCATCCTCAGGAGAGATGGACCATTAAGGGTAGCCTTGCCAACACTTATTAAAAGCATTCTTTGTACCAAAATATTGTCATTTCTACTCTCAAGTAGCATAAGATTTTGTGAGGAAAAAAAGCATGAGACATGAAATACCCACATGCATACTTCTCTGTATTTACAGTGAATTCTTGTTATTCATAGTAGTTGTGTCCTATGAATTTGCAACACTGAATTGGTAAATATGGAACCATTGTTGATAGGGGAAATAATACAGTTAGAGTCCCATAAGCCTCTGGTCCAAACGTTTTCATTAACCAATAAATTCATGATATTTTTCATTTTTAATTTAAAGACAACTTATATATTAATATGAAAATATATATATATATATTTGTTACCAGGGATTGAACCCAGGAGCAATTAACCACTGAGCCACATCCCAGCCATATACATGTGTGTAAATGAAATATATATTTCATTTACAGACATAATCTTGCCAAGTTGCTAAGGCTAGCTTTGAATCCAATATATATTTTGTAAAAATTTATAATTACTTTCCTTTACAATAAATGTTTTAAGTATAGTATTTTGGTATAATGTATATTAGTGTACTGCTTTAACTCAATTATATACATAACATGCACAGTATACCTGTACAATACTCATGTACAATAAACACTATGTTATTCATAGGAAACAGTACGTTGAGCATATGGTCTATTCATCCAGGCAAATAAAATCATCCATAGAAAAAAATCTATTAAAGATTTAAATTTTACTTTCAGTAGAGCTGCAGGATGTGTGATAAGACAGCACTCAGTGTGATGAAACCTCTTGACCTTGACTTGCCCCAAGAAGAGGCTGATGAAACTTATTCTGCAGAAGAGTAAAACATTTATGAGGGTGACATGTTAACATCTGTTAGTGCTACCTCAAGAGCTTGACTCGCCACTTGTTGACAGTATCAGGAATTTTCCCTCCAAAAATGGCTTGAAACTTTATCAGCCCTGTTTGGCTTTTCACTTTAAGCATTCCACACAAATGAAGTTGGGGCATCAATCTGAAGTTGCATTTAAGCATAGGGTCATATTCTTAGATGTCATTGAACATTTTTCCAAGGCAGAATTCCAGTTTGATATTTTAGCTCCTGTGAAAAGGACAATTTATGGAATAAGGCTGACTTTTTCACTATCCTGTCATTACTGGCTTCAGTGTCTCATTTTGCATCTCATCTATGTCTTCGTTGGTGGGTTCTAGGGACTTTCCTGCCAAAATGTTCTCCATATTTTCATGTCATTGATGCCTTTTCTGCTTACTTGCCTTGCACTGTGCATTCTGTTCAATACTGTTCTTCCTACTTTTTATAATTTTTTCAAAGCCTTCAAAATGTTTCATATGATCCAGTTACTTAAATATTTTTCCAACAATCGTTGATAGTGGCTTGTTGAGCCAATTCCAGGCTTTGTCAGCACTATAACTACATATAGTGACTGACTTCCATTGGTCTTTCATGGTGGTTTCCTAGGTGATGAGAGCCTTGCAAGACTTGCTGTAAAGCTCCCTCATGTTGAAACATTTTGGAAGCTTTTTAAGTGTGCCCTGGTGTTCCCTGATTGAGAGATTGGATAACAAATATAGCATTAGGGGACATGAAAAGAACATCTAGTTTGGGGTGAGAATTTTCAAGTTCTTGATGGCAATGGAATAGGGCATTATCCAAAATTAAAACCTTGAAGACAGGTTTTTGCCCTGAAGATAGCATTCAGCTTTGTAGGGTATGATGTAACATGTGGGGCATGTTGCATCAGAAAAGAGGAAACCTAACTTGCTACCCGATTCCCTGTCCTAGGGCCACATGTGGCTAAGATAGCACCTGGCTGTCAGCCAGAAGGTGTTGCCGTGGGTGTGACGAAAAATCAGACCACCTCTAGGATAGGCTCAGAACCCTTCGGCCCTCGTGGACAGCTCCCATTACAGCCTGTAGGATGGGTGTACACATGAACTCGCCCCACTCTGCTGACCTTTATCCTGATTGGCTCCTGTACATTATGTTAGCTGTGTGTGTTTTCTCAATAAACTGAGATCCTGCTTTGACTGGTCTCCCTGACTGATTGTCCTCTAGTGGGGGAGGGCTGAGTGGGGCAGTCAGTCGACCTTTGTGACCTTTGCCTTTCTTGGCTTGCCCTGGTTGGGGCATGCTCTCCCCAGTCTCTCCTGCAGGTCAGGAGGGAACGGGAGGGTGGGGGGCTAAAAACCCCAACACAGCTTCTTGAATGAAACTGTTATAAATCCAATCACAGAATCTTAAAAAAAAAATTTAGTTGTTGAGGGACATTTTTATTTATTTATTTATTTGTTTGTTTATTTATTTAGCCTCACACGTTAGGCAAGTTACCACTTGAACTACAACCCCAGCCTAATCACAGAATATTTTTTAGGTCGCTCATATTTTTTTGTTCCACTTACAATGGACTAGAATGCAGTTCAAATTTTTCCCTTTAAACTCCTTGGAATTTGGGATTCTATACACCAATAGAGATTTGCACAAAAGAGTCACCATTGCTATTGACACAATTGCAAGACTGCACAATATTCAAATAATAAAAATCAAGAACTTTGGAGGCCATTTGATTCATTTGCCAATGATCTGGATCAGCATTGATACCTACTTTTCCATATAAGCCTTTTCCTGTGTAGAACTGATTATTCAAATATTTCTATAGCTCTCTGATCTGCTAGTTTCACTTTTTTTTTTTTTTGGGGGGGGGGTACTGGGGATTGAATCCAGGGCCCTTTACATTTTTGCTTTAATGTCTTCCAGTTTCACTGCCTTTGTCACTCTGAGCCTATTTTGATTGATTGCTTTTTCATCTCATTTTGGATTTATTTTCCTGCTTCTATATATCCGTTTATTTTTTATTGCATGTCAGATATTGTGGTTTGAAAGTTTATATTCTTGTAAATGTTCTTTAGCTTTGTTTTAAAATACGGTTAAGCAATTGGGAAGCAATTGGACATTGCTTGGAAAGCATGTCCTTTTGGGACTTAAGCTTTTTTAGGAAAGACCAGAGAAGTGTTTCATTTAGGGCTAATTTTCCCATTGCTGTGATGAAATTCTGGAGAATTTTAATGATGCTATATGAATTGAAAGGTTTCTCTATTTTGATAGTAGAACAGACAGTAATTGGGGGCATTTGTGCTATCTGGAAATTTTTCTTTTTCTTTTTCTTTTTCTTTTTTTTGGATGTAGAATCTCACTAAGTTGCCCAGATAGCCTCAAATTTGTGACCTCCTAAGCCTCCTGAGTCGCTGGGATTACAGGCATGCCACCACTCCCAGCTCTCACTTGTCTTTTTTTTTTTTAATTTTTTATTGTGGGTTGTTCAAAACATTACAAATTTCTTGACATATCATATTCCACACTTTGATTCAAGTGGGTTATGAACTCCCACCTTCACCCCATACACAGATTGCAGAATCACATCAGTTACACATCCATTGATTTACAAATTGCCATACTAGTGTCTGTTGTGCTCCACTGCCTTTCCCATCCTCCACCCTCCCCCCTCCCCACCTCTCCCCTCCCCTCCCCTCCTCTCTCTCTACCTCCTCCACTGTATAACCCTGAGGGTCTCCTTCCATTACCATGCAATTTCCCTTCTCTCTCCCTTTCCCTCCCACCTCTCATCCCTGTTAAATGTTAATCTTCTTCTCCTGCTCTTCGTCCCTACTCTGTTCTTAGTTACTCTCCTTATATTCAAAGAAGACATTTGGCATTTGTTTTTTAGGGATTGGCTAGCTTCACTTAGCATAATCTGCTCTAATGCCATCCATTTCCCTGTAAATTCTATGATTTTGTCATTTTTTAATGCAGAGTAATACTCCATTGTGTATAAATGCCACATTTTTTTTATCCATTCGTCTATTGAAGGGCATCTAAGTTGGTTCCACAGTCTTGCTATTGTGAACTGTGCTGCTATGAACATCGATGTAGCAGTGTCCCTGTAGCATGCTCTTTTTAGGTCTTTAGGGAATAGACCAAGAAGGGGAATAGCTGGGTCAAATGGTGGCTCCATTCCCAGCTTTCCAAGAAATCTCCATACTGCTTTCCAAATTGGCTGCACCAATCTGCAGTCCCACCAGCAATGTACAAGTGTACCCTTTTCCCCACATCCTCGCCAGCACTTGTTGTTGTTTGACTTCTTAATGGCTGCCAATCTTACTGGAGTGAGATGGTATCTTAGGGTGGTTTTGATTTGCATTTCTCTGACAGCTAGAGATGTTGAGCATTTTTTCATGTACTTGTTGATTGTCTGTATGTCCTCCTCTGAGAAGTGTCTGTTCAGGTCCTTGGCCCATTTGTTGATTGGGTTGTTTGTTCTCTTATTGTCTAATTTTTTGAGTTCTTTGTATACTCTGGACATTAGGGCTCTATCTGAAGTGTGAGGAGTAAAGATTTGTTCCCAGGGTGTAGGCTCCCTATTTACCTCTCTTATTGTTTCTTTTGCTGAGAAAAAAACTTTTTAGTTTGATTAAAAGTCCCATTTGTTGATTCTAGTTATTAACTTTTGTGCTATGGGTGTCCTGTTGAGGAATTTGGAGCCCGACCCCACAGACTGTAGATCGTAGCCAACTTTTTCTTCTATCAGACGGCGCGTCTCTGATTTGATATCAAGCTCCTTGATCCATTTTGAATTCACTTTTGTGCATGGCGAGAGAAAGGGATTCAGTTTCATTTTGTTGCATATGGATTTCCAGTTTTCCCAGCACCATTTGTTGAAGATGCTATCCTTCCTCCATTGCATGTTTTTAGCCCCTTTATCAAATATAAGAAAGTTGTAGTTTTGTGGATTGGTTTCTGTGTCCTCTATTCTGTACCATTGGTCCACCCGCCTGTTTTGGTACCAGTACCATGCTGTTTTTGTTACTATTGCTCTGTAGTATAGTTTGAAGTCTGGTATCACTATACCGCCTGATTCACACTTCCTGCTTAGCATTGTTTTTGCTATTCTGGGTCTTTTATTTTTCCATATGAATTTCATGATTGCTTTATCTATTTCTACAAGAAATGCCGTTGGGATTTTGATTGGCATTGCATTAAACCTATAGAGAACTTTTGGTAATATCGCCATTTTGATGATGTTAGTTCTGCCTATCCATGAACAGGGTATATTTTTCCATCTTCTAAGATCTTCTTCTATTTCTCTCTTTAGGGTTCTGTAGTTTTCATTGTATAAGTCTTTCACCTCTTTTGTTAGGTTGATTCCCAAGTATTTTATTTTTTTTTGAAGATATTTTGAATGGAGTGGTTGTCCTCATTTCCATTTCAGAGGATTTGTCGCTGATATACAGGAATGCCTTTGATTTATGCATGTTGATTTTATATCCTGCCACTTTGCTGAATTCATTTATTAGCTCTAATAGTTTCTTTGTAGAGCCTTTTGGGTCTGCTAGGTATAGAATCATATCATCTGCAAATAGTGATAATTTAAGTTCTTCTTTTCCTATTTTTATGCCTTTAATTTCTTTTGTCTGTCTAATTGCTCTGGCCAGTGTTTCGAGAACTATGTTGAACAGAAGTGGTGAGAGAGGGCATCCCTGTCTTGTTCCAGATTTTAGAGGTTTTATGGTTTCTTCTATTTCCTCAATTGATATTGGTCTGTTTAGGTTTTCTATATCCTCCTGACTCAATCTGGGCAGATCATATGACTTAAGAAATTTATCTGTGCCTTCTCTATCTTCTAATTTGTATCTTCTGTATTTCTGAAGTGTCTGTTGTGATATTGCCTTTTTCATCCCGTATGCTAGTAATTTGAGTTCTCTCTCTTCTTCTCTTCGCTAGCATGGCTAAGGGTCTGTCGATTTTGTTTATTTTTTCAAAGAACCAACTTTTAGTTTTCAATTGTTTCTTTTGTTTCAATTTCATTAATTTCAGCTCTGATTCTAATTATTTCTTGCCTTCTACTTCTTTTGCTGTTGTTTTGCTCTTCTTTTTCAAGGATTTTGAGATGAAGTATGAGATCATTTATTTGTTGGTTTTTTCTTTTTTTAAGGAATGAACTCCATGCAATGAATTTTCCTCTTAGAACTGCTTTCAATGTGTCCCATAGATTCCGATATGTTGTGTCTGTGTTTTCATTAATCTCTAAGAATTTTTTAATTTCCTCCTTGATGTCTTCTATAACCCATTGATCATTCAGTAACCTATTGTTCATTCTCCAAGTGATGTATGCTTTTTCCTTCCTTCTTTTATCGTTGATTTTCAGTTTCATTCCATTATGATCAGATAAGATGCATGGTATTATCTCTACTCCTTTATTTTGTCTAAGAGTTGCCCTGTGACATAGTATATGATCTATTTTTGAGAAGGATCCATGTGCTGCTGAGAAAAAAGTGTAACTGCTTGTTGTTGGGTGGTATACTCTATATATGTCAATTAGGTCTAGGTTATTAATAGTGTTATTGAGTTCTATAGTTTCCTTATTCAACTTTTGTTTGGAAGATCTGTCCAGTGGCGAGAGAGGTGTGTTGAAGTCTCCCATGATTATGGTATGGTGGTCTATTAGACTCTTGAACTTGAGAAGAGTTTGTTTGACGAACATAGCTGCACCATTGTTTGGGGCATAAATATTTATGATTGTTATGTCTTGTTGGTGTATGGTTCCCTTAAGCAGTATGTAGTGTCCCTCTTTATCTCTTTTGATTAACTTTGGCTTGAAATCTATTTTATTTGATATGAGTATGGACACTCCTGCTTGTTTCCGAAGTCCATATGAGTGATATCATTTTTCCCAACCTTTCACCTTCAGCCTATGTATGTCTTTTCCTATCAAATGCGTCTCCTGTAGGCAGCATATTGTTGGGTCTTGTTTTGTGATCCATTCTACTAGCCTGTGTCTCTTAATTGGTGAGTTTAAGCCATTAACATTTAGGGTTATTATTGAGATATGGGTTGTTCTTCCAGCCATATTTGTTTATTTCTGTTACTAAACATGGTTTGTTTTCCTCTTTGATTATTTCCCCCCCCTTTACTGTCCTACCTCCCACTGTTGGTTTTCATTGTTATTTTCCATTTCCTCTTCCTGTAATGCTTTGGCGA